GCCGCCCCCCCCGCAGGGGCTCCCCTCTTTCCCCCTTAACCGGGGGGCTCCAGGCAGCGCCCCTGCTCCTCCCGGCCTGAAGTGACAACGGCCTCAAGAGCAGGGAGTTAAATACAACCCCCTCCCCTGCAAAGTGGGGTCACTTCCACTCCACCCCCCCCACAGTCAGGGAGTCACAGAGTGGTTGAGGGTCCCAGCGACCTCTAGAGCCCTCCATTCCCAGCCCCTGCTCCAGCAGGGACAGCTGGAACACAGCGGGGCAGCAAGGGGCATGGGGAAGATCTCCCCAGGAGCCCCCACCACCTCCCAAGGTGGCCTGTAACACCTGGTTTGTGTCAAAGCTCCCCTTTCACCAACCCCAAAACCCTGTGTCCCCCCCCAGCAAAGGGGCACAAGCAGCAGCACAAGGTGGTGGCAGGGACCTGTTCCCCCCCACCACTAGTGATGAAGATCTAAAAGCATCCCCTCAAAGTCACCCCCTAAAGAGTTCTGGGCCCCACCACAGCAGGAAACAGAAGCAGAGGCCCAACATGGTGGCAGAGCCCTGTCCCTTCCCCCTAAAGAGGACAAGGTGCATCCTTATCCCCTTCCCAAAAAAAGGAACCAACCAACCTCCCCTGTCTCTCACAAATTAAAGAGCACCAAGGTCTTTGCTGCAACGTGTTTATTTATGTGCCAAAAACTACACCACAGCTTACTCCACGCATCGGTAGGAGAGTGCAGTCTTGCCTGCATATACTACAATGAGGTAGAGACTTCACACACAGCTTCACAAAACCCCACAAAGAGCAGCTGGGATATGCAACAATGCAACATCAGCTCAGAAGGAAAGAGGGGGGGAAAAATAAGAAATAAAGAGGGGGAGAAAATTATGACACTGGTTCTTTGGCACACAGCTTCCAATAGAGGGGAAAGTAAAAAAAAAAATTCTCAAGTTCTCAAATCCCAGCAGCATTTCAGTCGACTGCACTGTTATACTTCATACGTTTCTTGAACAAAAAGTACTTGTCCCCTCTAAGAGAAAGGGCTCCTATGAACCTTCATCCGTCCACCAAAACGCAGCCCTTTTTAGCTAGTTACAAAAGAAAAAAAAATAAAGTCCGGTGACTTTTGTGATTAAAAACCTCTATCAACCCCCCTGAAGTGCAACTTAAAAAAGTGCAACAAACTATTTAAAACTATATACAGCAGCTCAGAGATCGTTTATCCGGTCCAGTTTCGAATCCAAAAAGCCCGTCCTTGGCTGTTGCAAACCCCTCGATTTACAACTCCCCACCAGCAGCCCCCAGACACAAATTGCAATAATGTTAAAAGCTGCCAGGAAAGAAAAAAATCTCTCGTTTCAAACGACTTAAAAACTGTTTTTAAGAGTGTAAAAAGGAACTGGTAAAAACCCTCGAGCGTAAAATATGAAATATGATTTGGTTTAAATGAAGAGCAAAGTCTCCTTGTTGTTACAGTAAAAAACGCCAGCTGAACATTCAGTTTATGCCGTTCAGATGGGGGTTAAATGAATGGAAAGGCACTGTATGGCAACTGCAAAAAAATGGAGCCAATGAGACCTGCATTATTACCATCAGTATTGCAAGGAATGTAAAAAAGCGCCTTTAGTAAATAAAAAAACCTAGGTGAAGGCATCTGCGTAAACACCTTCTCAACACGTGGCCCTTTTTTTGCTTCTCGTCAGCAAACTAGGAACCAAAGTCTGGGAACTGCAGAATCGCTTGAGGGGCGCTCCCCCCCCTCAGAAAAAAATAACAAAACCCCAACCAAACAAACCCCGACCAAAAAAAAAAAAAAGTATTTCCACTGTGCATTAGTGCAGAAACAAAAGAGACCAGCAAGTGCAAACGTGAATGTAGGATTTTTTTTCCCCGTGAGTCCTCAGGAAGCGCGTTCCCAGCCTGGGTCTGGCGCCAGCAGGCGCGCTCGCGCGCTCTCCACCCGGCGGCTTAGCACAAGGACTTGCTCCTGCGCCCGCGGCGGCGGCCCCCGAGCCGCGGCGGCCCCTTTAGCTGGAGTCTCGGTTCTTCTGGTTGCGCATGAGCGGGCGGTGGTGACGCAGGACCTCCATGGAGTGCTGCCAGTGCCAGCAGGAGCGGCAGAAGTACTTGAAGCAGATCTAGGAGGGCAAGGAAGAGAAGCACAGCTGAGCTGGGCGGCCCATCCCACCGGCTGCTTTCCCAGCTGGGCATCCTGGTGCATTGGGGGAGCTGCGGGAGTCTCCTTCCCGCTCCCGCCATCCCTGCTCCGAAGGTGGAAAACGGCTCTTTGGCAGCCGCCTGAGCAGCGGGGAGGGAATTTCAGCAATGCTGCGGGCGGTGCATTTTGCAGCCTGGCCCTTCTTAAAACCGGGGTTTGAAACCCTGAACTCTGCAAGCAGCAGCAGCCAGTGGCACCAGTGCTGTGGGTGGCCCCAGGACCAACTGCAGGGCAGCTTCCAGCTCCAGTGCCACCGCTCCTGGCTTCAGTGTCACAGCTCAAAGCAGCAGCCTCTGCTCTGGGTCACCCATTGCTGCCCATTGCCCTCGGCAGCACCAGGGCTGCTCTGCAGAGGCGCTTCCTGGGCAGGCAGCGCATCCGCAGGGAACAAGGGCACACCTGGGGCTCACTTAAACAAGTGCTGGCATGTCATCGTCCCCAGCAGTGACTCAGCAAGGACAAGCGGGCATCCCCGAGCACTCCAGCAAGAACAGCAGTGCCCACAAGGAGCCGAAAGCATCTTGAAGCAAAATTGTTACCTGGTCTCTGCAGAAGAAAGGGCCTGGCTGAGCGCTGCAGACTTGACACATGGAGTCTTCTAGATACGGGTCAATCTGAACCTGCACAAGGAGGGGTCAGGCCTGTGTTGGGCACAACTCCCAGCTGCTCTGAGCAGCCCTAGCCCATGTCCCCCCCCAGCACAGGGTGTCACCAGCACCCAGCCCAGGTGCTCTGCACTTAGAGGAGACATGGGACAGACTATACAGGTCACATCACCCACAGCAGTATCATCCCCTCTGCCCTGGCCCAGGCTCTCCCTCGAGCTCCACTCACCTTTTTAGTAAACTTGGTAGTTTTGATTTCCACAAACGCAGCCGTCACCGCCTTCAGGTAACTGCGCTGGTTGTTGAAGGTAACACGGCCAGACCCTGCAACAGGCAGACCAAAACAGTGACAGGGCGCACTGTGGCAGAGGCAGAGAGCAAACTGCTGCCCAAGCACTTGTGGGGCACCTGCACCCAAGCTCTTGGGGCTTGGCCTCCACAGGAGCAAAAGCAGAAGCAGCAGCAGAGAACAGAAAAGCTTCCCCACCTCCCGCACTGCCCCGGGTGCTGCCGGGCAGACCCGGCTCAGGGCAGCGGCGCCTCCGGCAGCGCCGGCCGGGACACGGGCAGAGCGCCAGGGAGCTGCGCGGGCAGCGAGCGCCTGGAACAGGCTGGTGCCGAGACAGCTCAGCAGCTTTTATTTTAAGCCTCCCACTCTGAATTCTTGCATTCTGCATCTTGGTTGCCAGTCAGCAGCACTCCTGCACCGCTCGCTCCCAGCCAAGCTCTGTTAAGCTACGGGAAAGTATCTTTGCTTACAGCAGAGTTCCCTTCCCCAGCACAAGGAGGGCTTCAGACAAACTTGCCTGCTAGCAGTTGAAGCTACCACCAAATCCTTCCCCAACAGTCACAGTGCAGGGCTAAAACCTAGAGCCTGTTCTACCCCTTTCCCTTAGCATCTGCTCACAGAGCACCTGGGTGGACCTGGCTCAGCCATTTCACAGCACACATTGCTCAGCAGGGTCATTTCTCTTGGAGGGTCAGCTCCATCTCCTCACCTGACCCTCCAAAAGCCACAGCTGGTTCTGCCCATCTCAGGGGTGGCTCTGAGCCCTTCCTGCTGCACCTATGGGCTGCAGGTCAGACACCAAGCAGTCACATGCAATGCCTGCAGCAGGACTATCCTCTGCATGAGGATCCAGGACGAGGCAGGTCATGCATGCGTGGTGAGCACGTGAGCCCAGGGTAGTACCTCAGTGCGTGAGCAGCCTTGACACCAAAGGAAGTTGAGCTACTGCATCTCATGTAGGAACTGAAGTCTGAGAGCATCGAGCAGCCATTCAGGGCCAGGCAGTTCCCACTGAAGGGAGCAGTTTGGGCTGTACAGGAAGCTACTAAAGGTTTCATGGCCACGTTCTCAGACCTTTAAGGAGCAACATGGAGCAGCTACCCCAGAGTAGCTTGATATGCTCCATCTGGGGGTCACTGAGGATCTAGGACATGCTGAACATCTCACACCTCCTGAGACTGTCAGCCCAAAGCCACTTTGCAGGTTACAGGTGACTGTAGCACCAGCACATCCTGAACCCTAGGCCACCTGCACATTATTTTGGACACCACGCCTTGCCCAGAGAAGCTCAAGAGGATGATCAGCGATGCACTGCTCTTCCAAAACAGCACAAGAGGGAGGATTTTACTGTGTTTGACTGCCCCCTTGGAGGCCCAAAGGAACAGGACCCCAAGGGAAAACCAAGGGCAGGAGTGGGGACAGGACACTGCCCACAGTGCAGGGTCAAGGGAGCTGCTCACGTCCTGCTCTGTGTTCCTGCTGCCCAATAGCTGACACCTCCCCAGCAACAGGGGATGGGGGGGATGAGGTGACATTGAGCAGATCTGCAGCTCTGTGCCTGCTCTGAGGACAGAACAGTCCTTGCACACTGCTTTGGCTGCTAACAGCCAGCTCTGCACACAGCGCAGAGAGCAGGAGACCCTCCAGCAACATGTAGGGACATTAAAAGCTTGAACCTCGTGGAAGGCTCTCAGACCTTCTTGTGCTCAACCAGCCAGCTCTGCCTTGCCCTCCCCGAGCTGGTTTTCTCTCCTCACAGGCAGGGGAAGAGCACTGCCTGCAGCTGGACATCCAGCAGGGCCTTCCTCCTGAGAGCACCTTGTCCAGCAGAGCTCAGGGCACCACAAACTCCTGCTCATCAAGAAGGGCCAAGCAAAGCTGGTTCATGCTCCCCAGAGCACCCCGGGACAACTACCGTGCGTGGGCAGATCCGCACTCACCGATCGGATACTTGTGCTTGTCCGTGTCGATGCCAGCGTAGACGACGCCTCCAAACAGGTCGTACATGACAGCGGCCAGGGCCTCGGCGTTGAGCATCCCGTGCAGAGCCCCCACGAACACGGTCTTGCTGGGATCGAGCCGCTGCGACGGGCTGCGCACGAAGTTGCTGTCTGCCAGCACCCAGGGGATCACCTGCACCTGGAACCACACACAACCGGGTCAGCAAAGCCAAAGGGCTGCAAGGGCACCTGGCTCAGCAAGGGCCATCTGTCCCCTCACTTATGGCTTGGGTTAGACTCAGGCTGCATTATCAGGTGGATACTGTAGCACCCTGGCTGGCAGCAGAAACCCTTCCAAGTCCTCAGACACAACCCCTTTTTTGCAGATACCCCTTGATTCTTGCTAGTTGGGGGCCACATTCAGGGCAATAACACCCAGACTCCCTTGAGCAGGCCCTGGCTCTCCTGAGAATCACAAAGGCCAAACTGGAACCCA